ATGGCCGCCCTAATTTGCATATTGCGCGGCCCAAATTTGCATATTTAGCAAAAATAGTGGTTCTAACTTTACTGAAATGGCTTGATTTAATTCGTTATCCCTCAAAAGATGGGGATAGACACGAAAATTATTCTGATACCATGAGTAGTTACTGAGATTTTGACGAAAACTGGATTTTCAGTAATGCCCACCTTAATTTGCATATTGTGCGAATTGCCCAAGGATGACAGAGTGGCATCATTCAGATTCTGAAAGAGCACACCTCAGAGATATAGAAACAACAAAAAAACTTTGTATGGACCGCATTGCACGCTTATCGGTCTCTGCCACCAGACTAAAGGTGTTAATGGGGGATTTAGAGTGTAAGGGAAAGGTAAATCTACCAAAAGGGCCATATATCAGTAATTTCAATGCTGACATTTTGCTTGGCCATTGAGTAGAACCTGTACCTAGCAGTGAGAAAACAATTGATAATTCAATTAGTAATACATGGCCTTCACAAAGGGTCTACATGATAGGTTTTTGATAGTGGATTTGGTACCAGGTGACACTTTTGCAGGTTACAGTGTTATGTATGAGCATTGTGGTTGCCTGCCTTATGTAGATTTTTTTTAAAATGCTCATGAAGATGACTGAATGAGTCTTTGTTTCCACTTTAAAAGGCCATGAGTTTGCAGGGACAGTCCATGCAGTGGGAACTATGGTCACCTCACTGCAGGTGGGAGACAGAGTCTGTGTCAACCCCAACGGGAACTGTAACGGATGCAGGTTCTGTATCCATGGACAGCCCCACCTCTGTACCACCGGCAAGAGCGCCAAAAACATCCGCGACCTGGGGATATTCTGGGACGGTGCCATGGCTGAGTTCTGTATGGTGCCAGCTGACCAGGTGAGTTGCCAGTTTGAATTTGAAGGTTCAACTTAACCAACTGTTGATATGTGGGGGGTGTATTGTTTACTGGTACAATGTACTTTTATTGTTCACAGGTGTTTCGCATACCAGATGACCTGTCCCTACAGCAGGCGGTCCTGTGTGAGCCGTACTCCTGTGTGCTACATGGCTATGACAGGATCAGCCCACTTCTGCCAGGGACACGCATTCTAATCCTGGGTGCTGGTGTGTGACTCATGTTTTTAAAGATCAACTGTAGTGGATAGCTGTTCATGGTTTTGATATTCAAAAATATTCTATCTGGAGTATCTCTGGTGTTATGATTACTGTAATCTTCCTCTTGTTGCCAAACCTTGACACCAATACATAATGTGCAAATGCGGTGAGAAAAGGTGATCTCAGGAGGAAGAAGGTACTGATAGGACAGGTGTTTTTGTTACTGAGTGATGTGTTATTTGGTAAACTTCACCTTAGCTTTGCCTTTGCATCAATTTTTTAAATCATCAATACCAATCTGACTCTTACTGTACATGTACTCGGGGTAACAAGGACATATTCATATATTTTACAGTACAAGAACAAATTACAACCTTTAAGGCAACTGTTGGTACATACATGTACATGTAGTTTTGAAAGTACTTAAGGTTAGAGACTTCCATTACAGGTATTATTGGAATGCTATTTGCGGCCTTATTCCAGCATCGTGGATTTTCTGATGTGACGGTGAGTGAGCCATCGGAGGTACGCAGGAAAACTGTGGCGAGTATCGGGAAGGGCTGCAACGGAGTCTCACCTGCTGAGCTGAAAAGTCTAAGCACACAGGTAACTTGGAACTGTAACACAATGTTACTAGTCTATGTTTTAAATTAGTATACTGTTACTTTACTAACACTGTGCTAGTGTCAAGCTATCTTACTCATCCTTATCTCACAGGTTGTGTCTTTAACTCATCTGTATCTAGTGTTACCTGTAAAATATAATGTAACTTTCAGTATCAGTACCTAACACTTACAGTTGTATTTACTTTCCTTTCATTTTGTTCAAAGTAGTTCGACAAATGTAGCAGAACATTAGCAAGTAATGTATTTTCTGAATCAGATGGGAAAATGTTTTGATACTGATGATTGTGATTTTGTTAACATTTACAGAATGATGCTGATGACTTTGGGTTCGATGTGGTTGTTGACACCAGTGGGGTTCCCATGGCAATACAACAAGCCATCCCTTGGCTGAGGCCTGGAGGTGAAATAGAAAATATATTAAACTTTAATATAGCAGTATGGACAATATCTTTTCAGGCATCAGTGTGACAGCCTGTGTCTGCTAAGCTTTTAAGAGCATTCATTAATCAGAAGGTTGCAGGTTCTAATCCCTCCATTGTAATTCAGAACACTTTTTGCTTTTGACACATGTAAAGTCAGTTGTTCTCCTTGAGATTTACAACTATGGTGCACAGTAAATCACTTTTCACAGACAAAATTGCCACCACCTGAAAATAATGTGTCATTGTCTCATTATTGCAAAGTTGAGGTTTTTCATTCTAATCACTAAGCCTTGTCCCCTCCTGCAGGAAAGTTGCTGATTTTTGGTTGTTGCCCAGCTGACAAACAGCTCAGCTTCAACCCTCACGATGCCTGGATGAAGGAAATCACCATTCTGACCTCCAGAATCAACCCCTTCTGCTTCCCCAAGGCCATCTCTCTCGTCAACAACATGGCTGCTGACTACCTCAGCTTCCAGCAGCTCTGTGTGAAAGTGTTCCCCATGGAGGACTACCAGGATGCAATCGAAATGCTGAAGAATGGGGAGATCACCAAGGCATTGCTGCAGCCCTCAGGACTATAGGGGAATGCAACAATGTATACAGTTTATCTCATGTATGGTGCAGTTATTAAATGAGGAGGCTAATGTATGTAGTACATTTTGTGCATGAGGGTTGTAAGGTGACATTTTTTCCAATATTACCAATATCTGGGGCAATGTTAGGAAAGAGGGCTCCTTAGTATAAGGGGTCATTATTTTCCTTGTATAAAAGAGGTGCTATTTTATCTATTCCTTAATTTACATCTACAATGTGTTGAACTTAGATATGGATGCAATCTTGGGTAAAATGCTCTGAATGATCATATTTGGTGATAGCTTCAATTATCTATGGTCTTTCCAGGTTTAAAAAGAAGCAGGAAAATCAAGGAGTGAAAATAAAATATATTGTAAAAAATAGCTTGATTGATGCTTATGGTCATGCTGAGTTGATCAATTTTGAGCAGCCAGTGTGTATCATTTTTTTCATATTTATGATGTGTTGTCCTGGTTGTAATAATGTATAATTGGAACGCTTGAACAGGATATCATCAAGTGCACTTAAAAAGTTTAATACCACACACACACTTGCCTGTAATTCCTTACTCTTTGTGAGGCCTTAGGCTAAGGAAGAGGTATTAAAATGTTGGGCCTCTAAGCACTTTTAACCACCTGTTCGTTTTTGTTTTCAAATATCATTCTGTTATAGGATAGGATTTGTACACAATATGATTTGGGTAGGGGACACCTTTAATAGCCACATATTTGTGTTACTTTTTCTTTTTCAAAGTCTATTTTACCGTGGTATCAAGTTTCAGGAGATCTTGCCATTGCCCAAATTTGACAAAAACTACTAGTTCAAGATTTAATATGTTCATTTTTCTACTGCTCTTTTTCTAATATTGTATACTAGTAACAGCATTGAAGTTGAGGAGCATTGCCACAATGTTTTAACTTAATCGTGCGCGATTGCGTGTAAAACACAGTCTGCAGATGTAATATCGTGTAGACAATTGTCTGCGCAATGTTAACAGGATGTGGACCAGTCACCAGTCTTGGGCACAGTTCTGGGTACGTGACTGCCCTGTAGTACATACAGGTTATACTAATAATAACATTTTTATAACATATAGTAAACAAGTGTGTTCTCGGGAATCTCATTCCATCTATGCCTCACTTTTAGATTTCCAACTCATCATAGTCTGCATGAGCCATTTTAAAAACACTATTGGAAAATTCCCTACAGAGAAATGGGAATTTCGTCTCTTTTGCCCAGCATTCAGGTAGGCGTGATTTTAAACAGGGCACTGAATCCATGTGACGTCAGGATGTATGTAGCATTGCATAGGTATAAAGGTTGAGAAACATGTCTAAGTACTAGTATTAGCTTGTAGCTAATGATTCATATTACAAATCGCTGGAATAGAAGAGCTTAGTAATGTGTGTACGTAAAAGTCCAGAGGGATTAAGTGGGTTGATCATGACCTGGGCGTGACCGGTGAAGTTTCCCCAGTTGAGCCATCTTTTTACCGCCGGTAGGTCAGATATCCTGCCGCTTTTCCTTCAGACAAACAAGGTGTTTCCGCCGATAGACACTCCTGTCGTCTGTAGATCCCACACGCAAGGAGCATTTTCAGTCTGAGAGACATACCAACAACTACAAGTAACTATGTAGTCAGGCATGTTGGATTCACATTGCGTTCACATGATACCACAGGTATCACATCATCACTACAAGCCATGGTTTGACTAGTATGTGATAATATCAGTCTCTGTCGGATTGCTGTCTTCACTAACAAATTCTTTAAGATTTTGCAATTTTTCCGATCCGGCAACTGAAGGAGTGTGATATACACTCATGGAAATGTCGTGAGCACACAGAACAGGCAACAAGTCGAACTACGAAAATTTCCCACAATATTGTGACAGAACAAGACGATTTGACACCTGTATGCTCGGCACGTACAGAACTAATGACACGGGTCACAGCAAAATGGGCCAACTTTTCTCGAATTGTGCCGAGGGGATTCTATGAAAACCGAATACATCAATGGAAGGGAAGCTGGGGACTAAGACGTAATGGAATTCCTGAATGGTGGTAGTAACAATGGTACCGAATATCAATGGATATAGCGACCTGAGGCCGTCAATAGAAAAGTGCTGCCAACGTTGGAAATGAACAACAAGATAGAAAAATAGTCGCCAATTCTTCCAGGTTCTTCTTATTAAGACTGATCAGACAACTTGTTGTTGTGCCTTTCTTTACCCTTAGAAATAAATGTGATTACCCGGTTTTAACGTTACCTGCATGTAGTTGTAGGATAGCAAAATAGGTCGCAGACATTTACGAAATAATGTGATAAAATAATCTTTTCAGGACTGTATACGTAAGTGTCTTTCTTCTTCCTTTGGCATATCACTGTCCCTTTGGGAAATGTTTGTGTTTATTTTCATGAATAAATGGATTGAAGGAAGAATGATGGCACTTATATTACCAAGTCCCGCCAGGGGGAGATCTTTGTGCCCTTAATGACGTTATGAGTGGGAAACGCGCGGATTAAAATATTAGATCTTCTAAGCTCGGACAAGTTTTTCGAGAACAATTATGTGAATCTTTAGCTTCTTCTTATATTCACAATTGTCTTCTGTTAACTTCCGAAATTCTAACTCAAACGCTATATTCTCCGCTTATGTGTTTTATTCACCGACATTGTACTGTCAGGACTGTTGTACATGTATGTGCACCGTGGGGTCAAACTTTCGGCTGATTACTTTAAAAAGTCGATTTTATCTTAACCTATGATCTTAATCTACAAGAAAAATCTTAGATCGCCACAGGAAACTGATTCACACGGCATTCCTCCGTGTGGCACAGATGTGGATTATTCCGGCGACACTGTACACTTCTACTTCCGAGGAGTCATTTCAGCAAGTCACCCGGCCTGTGTTTACAGCCATGTACAGCTGACAGGCGCTGTCAGAAACACTGCGGATTTTATTATTAGACGGTTACCGTCTGTAGAGAAGGTTTGGTGGAAAGAACTGAACCGGAGCGGCTGTGTCCTACCACAGTCCACAGTTAACGCCCTCTTCAGGGGTTTCACGCTGTACCGGGATCAGAGACGCCAGCTCTTATCAGCTGCCTGACAGTCTCTCCACAGGAAGCCCCAACTTCCCCTTCCACAGCCTCGCAAATATAGCCAGGAGGGAGACTCGGACAACTGGGATCGCAGTTCTCCAGGTTACATACGCAACCACCGGCTTTCACAAGATTTATGCGGGATTTACGCTTCCACGTCTGGCTTCTGTACATTCTCGTCATACGCTAAGTTAGTGCCAGGTCTTTGGAGAATGTGCCACCCGCGACAGTTTGGGATAAGGATGGCGCACAGTCCACAGCTTCTCGTCGTGCTAGTCCTGCTGGCCTCACAGGGTAAGTCGACTCCTTCCACAAATCTGCTAGGAATTCCCTCTTCACCACCGTGGTCGAGAGACTCTTGGCTTTTATGGCTTTTACAAGTAAGACGAAGTGGAAAACATTAACAGTCCTTGTACAATTACTATGGTGTACGTGGTTGACATAGCAACACAAGAATGATTTTGTGGTACTGACATTCTTGTCTAAACGGCAAGAGATTGTTTTCTAACATACGTTTACAGGAAAGTGTGATTCATAATAATTTGGCTGTGCTCCCTCAAAAAATATATGTTCCAATATTGCGGTCGAATGGTATCATTTTGTCTGTAAAGTGTCTTTAGCGTTGTGTCATCCATTCCAAATCTTACAGTCATCTACACGAAAATATCTTATATCTGTACGTGGCAAAAAGCTGAATACAATAAATACGTCGTGACGTTTACGTGCCACCTGAGCATACATGTATTAAAATAATATATCAAAACTGACAGAGTTTGTGCGTAGAAAATATTCCCCTCTCCACAGATGGCAGGGTGGGGAGGGGGTTATTTTGATCGCTTGCAGTGTTTTGGTGGCCGGTTGGCTGGGGGCAAGGCGACCTTTGATGGGATATATGATTTCTGGTAGGGCGGGCCAGTAGGGATTAGGGCGGCACGCGCAGGACTAGCCTAGAAGACCTACATAGCCCAGATCCTCGGCTTCAACCAAGGACAACATAGCCCACAAGTATATTTTGCAGCAGGCTTCCAGCAACACAGGGGTCTCTGTGACAAAATTTTCTTGGCGGGGCGCGATGGCCCTGGGGCCTAGGAGCTGGCCTGTGTAGCCCTGGAAACCACCTGGTTTCCAGGCTAGCACAGCGCGGATTCTTGGGAGCATGTGGCGGGACGAAACTTGGCACCCAGACCGCAACATGCATGTCGTTTAACGTAATGGCAATGTAACCAGAGGGGATTACAAACTGTAAGTGATGTGATTGTGGTGCGGTGCGGGATGTCAAATCATAGTCTCTAATCCGATAAGCATGTTTACTGTTGCGTTGTTGTTTTTATCGGTAACTAAAATGTTGTACTTATCTGTGGTGGTCTTCTGTCGGTATTTTGATATCAAATGAGATAGCGATCATCTGCACCACGTCTAGGGTCAAGGTTGATATGATGGATTGTGACATAGACAAACGCTGCTGACATTCTCCTTAACACAGCCGTATTGTGTGAAACTCGGCCTGGGGTACTGAACTATGCGGTTAACCATGTACAAGGAATGACAAGGAAAAAAGGAACGGTTGACGAACAAGATGTTTAACAAAGAAAAAAAATGAAAATTACGTCTTTGCTGGAGTAATTTCCCTTACCGGTAGCGTATCAACAAAAAATGGAATAATAAATTTCATTTTGGCGCGGTTTCAAAATAAGATGTTACTTTGCAAAAAGGAAGTCGCCGAATAACGTGCCAACTTACACATATACAAGAGGGTCTGCGTGCCTTTTCCACAAGGCGTATTTCCAATTCAATCGTAGCCGGCCGCTTCAATTCAACGTTAAGTGTTGTCTGGAAATTCTTCGTGAAGCGTTGTTGGTCACTTTTGTTCCAATTTACTTCTGTGCACATTCTGTAACAAGTCTTGTATTGAAGATGAATCGCATTTTATGCTTGACTGTAAATTATATGATAACGAACGTAAATCACTGTTCAGTTCAATTAAGCTCGACAAAAAATGTAAAACATTATCAAAGGAAGACACTTTTAAATATATTATATCATGTACAAATATAGACGTCATCAATGAAGTATGTAAGTATATTTCAAAATGTTTCAAAAAGAGAGAAGAAGCCATTAGAACTTAGATCAATATCACTTATATATATATTTCTTTTTTATTTTTATTTTTAGCATTGTATACCTTAGACCTAATGTTAGCCTTTCTTTATTACTATTGTTGTAGTACTTCCTAGTACATTGTACTTTGTACATCTGTGCATTTATCCCCCCGGGGAATGAACATGCAATAAAGTTTCTCAATTATTATCTAACGCCAGAGTAGTATACTCGCCAGATATTGGCAAATCACCCTGGAGAGTCCGGCGGCGTTCGCATATTAGCCTATGAAAGAACACAAGAACAACTTACCGGCCATCCTGAATTTACTGTTAGACGTTTTCGCCCTCCTAAATTTACCGTTAAGCGTTGCCAGGATTCCCCCATGCAGACCCTCATACAAAAGAGAGGGTGTATGTGATGACTACATGCAAGCATTCATTCGATCGGGTTACACCAACATGGTGTACGTTTCCGTTTGGTGATAGTGATACGCACTTGTGAATTTTTGTGATGTTATAGTTGGAAAGACGTGTGCATTGTCAACATACTTGAGAGCAGGGTTTGGGGCCT